AACCCAGAACCCAGCCCTTGTCGTCTGCCTCCAACGCTGCGTGACCCTGGGTGAACCACTCAGTCTGGCTGGACCCCAGTGCCCGCTCCCCTCCTTCTGACCCTCCTCATACATGTGCGAGGCTGGGCACCCCAGGAGGGCTGTGGAAGAACTGTGGAGCCCAGAATGCCTTCCTCCAGGGCCAAGGCCAGACTGCCTGTTTAATTCCTGCAGCACGCCCACACCCTGGGGAGTGAGAATGAGATCTCCCATTTTACAGAGGAGACCGCTGAAGCTTCGAGGGGGGAAGTGATCTCCCGCCGATCACCAGTGGGTGAGACCTGACTCGTACAGGCCTGGGCCACTGGGACCCACCCTTCCACAAATGGGGGTCACAGCTCTAAGGGAGGCCGTGTTGTAGGGGCTGCAGTGATTTGAGCCCAGCTGTGGGAGGCCGGCAGTAGGCCCGGCGTAGTGGGCCACGGTGGGGTCTTACTTAGGTGGTCCCCCATCCTCCCTGCAAAGTGCTTTACTTTTAAACCCTGGGGGTCTGTCCTGCAGCTCACCCACACATTGGGGGCTGGACAGTATGAAACCACAGTACAGGTGTGGCAGCTGTGGCCCAGAGGAGGAGGTCGGTCAGAGCAAAGTGTGGTTAGAGAGCAGGACTCTCGGCCCTGAGTCTCAGAGTAGGACAGGGCTCCTGCTGGAGTCCACTGAGACCCTCTCCTCTTCTCCCCAGGCCCACCCTGCAGAGAGCCAGGCTGGGCCCTGGGCCAGGCTAGGCCTTAGAATCCGTTGTCTGGTGCCCCTGATGATCAGAACCGAGGCCCCCTTCTAGCAGAATGGCCTCCAGGAAGAAGAGATGGCCTCAAGCCATCTCTGTGACCTCAGCACGTCCCTGACCCTCAGCCAGCCTCCGTTTCCTCACCTGCAGGACAGGGACAGTGGGGACCATGCAGGGTGGAACCAGGCAGGGCCTGTCAGTGACGAAGATGCTGGAGCGGAGGAAGCATCCTGCGAGCTCTGGCTGTTGCTTTAATCTCCGGTCATGCTAGCTGCTGCTCAGAGCCTGCAGAGGTGCTGCAAGGGCTCAGGGCAGGGGCAGGGGGTCTGCCTGCACGGGAGGGGCTCTTGGCGTGAGCCCCGAAGGGCAGGGAAGCGTTCTGGCAGGGGCTGCGACTGCGCTGTGGCTCTGAGGTGTGAGAGGCAGGAGACACTCGAGAAGCGCCGGGCACGGCGGCCCGAGAGGAGGGTGGAAAGAAGGCTGAGCCTTCTTCCCTCCTGGAGGCCCTGGCGGGGCCGGTGGCTGAGCTTCGTAATCTCCAGCCAGAGACTTGCAAAGCTGGAGGGGCCTCCGTGAGCCATCTGTGCGGGGGGAAACTGAGGCATGGAGTGACAGGGCTGGGCCCCAGGTGACTGAGGGAGCGAGGCCAGAGCTCCCCCCAGCTCCCGCGGTGGGCGGCCGAATCAAAGAGTTCTGTTCTGTAGGGCCATCTTCCCTCGGGCACGGGAAGTTCCGCTCTGCTCCAAATGTGGCGGCCGGGCCCCGTGGCTCCGAGACTCTCTGGCGCCCTGGCCACGTGGAGCCACGTCAGCTTCCCGCCGCCCCTCCCTGCCAGTGGCCGCAGAGTTCCACGGCAGCGAGGAAGTGAGTCCCAGAACCCTGTGAGGACGGGCCCCACTCCGGGAAGCATGTCCTTGGTGAAGGCAGAGCGGCCTCCCGCCAGACGACCGGATTTCTGTCCCAGACCAGCCGCTTCACCTAGGTCGCATCCGGAGGCCTCTGCAGCCCCACCTGGACAGTGGGAGCTAAGAGGAGACTGTCAGGAGAAAGAACGCTCCCCGGACTCGGCCTCGGGGGCCCTGCGTCGGGGTTGGCTCCGCCGGCCTGGCTGTGTGTCCCCAACTCCCTGTCGCCGATGTGGCCCTGCCTCCCGTGGCATGTGCTGGGGTAGACGTGACCCGCATGGAGGGAGCGCGCTCATAGACCTTGTTTGGCCGTAGAGGGGACACTACAGCTTCGGGTTGCGGTGGGGAGGGAGTGGGACTCGAGTGAGGCCACCAGGCCGCACAGGCAGCAGGCCCGTCCTCGAACCCGCGTGGGCCGTGAGCCCTGCCCTCCTTCCTCCGGCCGCAGGAGTAACTGTAAACACTTGGTACACAGTGTGACTCAGAGACACGACTTTGCCCCACAGTGACGATAATGACAAGGCCTGAGGTTTTGCACCAGTTTTCGTGGAGCCCCATTGGCTCACGTCAAGCTTGTGGTTGACTGAGACACCCAGAATCTTTGCACCCGAGCTGCACTCAGGTCAGTCTGCAGTCCCCACGTCTATCCGGCCGACTTCCTGCCTGTTGAGATTGTTCCGAATTCATTTGTCCTCCAGCTTGTCCACATGGCCCTGCCATTTTCGGTGGCCGCCACAGCCGTGTCGACAACACGGCTTCCCAGGCCCCGCGACACTCCCCTAGTGATCACCCCTTGAGGGGTATCCGTTAAGCAGTCCTCAGCGGCTAAGCTTACCCAACCCTCCAGAAAATGAAATCTCGAACTTTGAGGTTGCAACCTGGCAGCCTGTGAGCAGGACGCATCCTACAAGTTGGTTTGGGGGTTTGGGTTTTTTTTTTTTTTTCTCAGTATTAGAATGAATTGCCAACATATAAACATTTCACATCAAAGCAGGTTTCTTCTGGTAAACTGGAAGTTCTGGCCACACTGGCCCCACCCCCATCAGGGCACCGGCCAGCTGGACCAGGTGGCACTTGGCCCTTCCGCAAGGCACACCCTCTCCAGTCCACCCCAACTCCCCACCAGTCCCATGTGCCTCACTTACGTGACTTGCCGGGTCTCCACAAGCATCAGAGCCTACAGCCCCAGCTCCAGCTAAAATCACCCCCAGCCTCCATTTGGCCCCTTCGCAACGGTACTGGGAGCAGCTGTCCTAGAAGCCAAGCTGTCTCATCCCAGTTGACAGTGTCCCTTGGGCTCCAGGTCTGGGGCATCCTCCGAGGAGAGAGTGGGTTCCCTGCTTCTTGATGACTTGCTGAGCCCTCCCAGGACTACATGCTCATCTCTGAGAGCCCTCAGATGCCTGTCTGAGGCAGGGATGGGTAGGGAGCATGGGCGTCTCTGATGCCAGAATCCATCACATCTCCATTTTGAAAATCAGGAATCAAACCCATTCTGAAGCCTCCAGCTCGGTTTCCTCATTCCCAAGGGCGGTCACTAGTCATTTCGTGCTTTTCCAGGCCCCCAGCATGTTTCCAGGCCTCAGGACGGACAGTGAGGGCTTCTGTCTTCCTTCCCACCAACTTCCCTCTTCTTCCCTCCTTGTCAGTCTAGAAAACTTGGCATGTCACCGCAGACCCGAGGACTCAGGCAAGCCTTCCCTCTCCCTTAGCCGCTCCCCATGTTTCTTCTCCGAGGGACCCCAGATACAGGACATACTTCTCCCTTCCTTGCTGTGTGACTGAGGGCAAGCCTCTTCACCTCTCTGAGCTGCAGTTCTCTTTGTGAAAGGAGAACCTGGCCGCCCTGCCTGCCTGGCCTCCTGCCTCAGGGTCGGGGTTGGGATCCTGGTCTGGGGCAGGTGGAGAGGAGGCTAACGGCTGGGGTTTGGCTGATCAGTGAAGAGGGCCCGTACACGTATAGTTCCTGGGAGGGCCGCATGTGAATAACGGAAGAAATGGGAAAACCACGTGATCACCCATCCTAGGGCATGGCGGGCTGAGTGAGCTACAGCCTCCAGGGCCCGGACGGGCAGGACAAGGGACATCTGCTGGCGAGTGTTGAGTGTTCTATCCTCCTCCTCGCTGAGCTCTCCCTCTGCGCCAGGGAGGGCTTCCAAGGTAGAGCAGGAGCTCTGTTGTTTTCGTGGGGCTGGGTTACTCCCCCCATCTCACAGATCGGGAAACGGAGGCGGGGCTCTGGCTACTGGAAAAGCGAGCTGGAGAATGACAGACCAGGCTGAGACCGTTCAAGAGGGTCTGTGAGAAGCTTGCTCTGTGTTTTCCTTGCTGGAAAACACATCTTTCCGAGGCTGGAAAGAGAGACCACCAAACCGATCATGTGGGGGCCTGCCCAGAAGTTAGGGTGGGTCAAAGGGGCCATTAGCCTGACCTGTAATTCTGTCATGCTTTCATTTTTGTAGAAGTTCGTGTGTCGCTTGTGAAATGTAAAATGAATAATTGAAAAAGTGCGGGGGGGGGCATCCCCGCAAGCTTGACGTCATTCAGGAAGCCGTGAGGGGAGCCTCAGCTAGCTGTACAGAGGCAGGGGCATGAGCACCTGACCTGACCCACACCCCCGGGGCCTGGGAGACGAAGCTGGGCCCCTTCCTGAGTGGGCCCTGGGAGGGAAGTCATGGGGAATGCTAACAGTTTCTCCAGGTGTGATGCCCCCAGCCAGGGGCACTGGTCCCCTGCACACAGCTTCTAGTCAGAGGTGGGAGCTCAGCCCCGCCCGGAAGTGCCCCATGTCTTTTCTCATCCCCCTGGATTTTCCCTTCTGTCTAAGGCGGGGACAGGAGAGGTGCGCCCTAGGTGTCCCAGGGAGGCTCAGGGCTGGTGCAGCTGGTGGTCCCACTGCAGGGCCATGTCCCGTTACTCTTGTAGATATGGGCGGTGGTGGGGTGGGGGATCTGGGACACTGGGAGGCAGAGGGTGACAGCCCGAGTCCCACAGGAGCCCCCTTGAGCCACTTACACAGGCCTGCTGCCTCGGTTTCCCCTTCTGCACAGTGGGTTCTAGAGGTTCAGATAGAAGCACGTGTACTCCTACTCAAGCAGGCAGGCAGGGGTGAGACAGACCATCACGGCAGCCCCAAGGCAGCATGTCATGGTCATTCTCTATCCAGAAACCCCGTGGGGAACCTCAGCAGAGGGGTTGATAGTCACCTGAGGATTGTCCTACGGATGTCTCAGGTTGGACCTCGGGGAGAACTTCCCAGCAGAGTGAGGCCGTGGTGTCCCCCTGAGACTCTCGGGACCTAGCACTGATGGGCTCCCCATGCTCTGCAGGGCACCGGCAGAAGCTGGAGGACCAGACCAAGCCATTCCCTGACCGCTTCGGGGACCTGGAACGGCTGCGCATGCGAGTGACGCCGAGCACGCCCAGTCCCCGTGGCTCGATCAGCACCACCAGCCACTATAGCAGCCAGGCCCAGACCCCCATCCAAGGTACGGCACAGGGGGAGCCGGGGGGCGGGGGGGACGGTGGAGGGGGCCCTGGGCATGGCCCTGCTTCCCCAGAACAAAGGCTCCTTTGGAGGTCATTCACTGCACTTCCTTGTTTTATGAAGGAGGACAGTCCTGCTCATGGCCTCCTACAGATGATTTCCAGGGATACTCTGCCCAGACCTGGGATAGGCCCTTCATTCAGTCACTCAGCAACCACGTATGGACACCCTCTACATGCGACGCGCAGTGCCGGTCCCCAGGGACCCGCACGGATAGACACAGGCCCTGCCTTCGGGAGCTCACCGTCTCCTGAGTGACATGGGCATTAATTCCCCAGTGTACCCGTTAAAATTGGGGCATGACTTGTCTAAGGAGCCTGTGACAGACCTGTCCCTGCCGAAGAGCCCACGTGTCCCCTATCTGAGGGAGGGGCAGTGGTGGGTGCCTCTGCCCGGGGCTGGGGCGACATTCCAATGCCATGACTGCACTCAGGTAAACTTTGTAAATGTCAAAGTGATGTCGCAGCCCTGGGGACACCCAGCATCACCTAGGAAAAGTCCCCTCTTGGCCCAGAGACTTCTTCCAAACAGGAAAGACGAGGGAGGCTTCTCAGCTGGGGCCCCAGACAGCGTCTGTGTCCCCATTGCCCAGATGGAGGTGGCAGGCACACTGAGGCCTTGCAGAGTAGACGGGTGCCTGGCACGGGGCAGGTCCATACACGGCCGGGTGAGGAGGATTGGCTGTTCTCTGGGCCCTTGGACTGGGTGGGGGCAGAGAGCTCTGGTCCACAGTGCCAGACAGAGTCACATCCCGTAGTGGCCATTCTTCCCCGGTCGTGTGGGGCCTGCTTACGACCCATCTGACAGATGAGTGAACTGAGGCCTAAGAGATGAAGAGCCACTTGTGGGGCCCAGAGCCCATCGATGACCATGTCCAAAGTCCCCATAGCACCTACTCCCAGGAACTTCCTGCACTGCTGAGGGTGCAGACGAGGGGGCCCCCCGCAGGAAGAGCCCGGGGTAGGGCTGCGAGCTGACTCCAGGCCAAGCTTGGGGCTTGCTGGGGCTCTCCACTAAGGGAGGCCTTGCCCCCGGCCCTTGTGTGCCAGGCATGATACAGTGGCCGGGCCTTGGTACAGCCCCTTCTTTTCTGGGACAGGAAGCTTCTATTCTTGGTCCTGCTGAGCCCCTCAGGTGAGGAGAGACCCATGGGCTAGTGAGTTTGAGACAGTTAGTGGTTCTAGAGCCCAATGAGGGGGGCTTACCGCATGGGGGTCTGACCTCAAGAGACCGGGAGAGGTTATCTCCTCTCCAGGTTCCTGCCCACCCCCTGCCCGAAAGCGGTCCTTGCTTCCATGTCCCATAGGCCAGCCCTTGTCAAGGTACAGTAGCCTAACACTCCAGGCCTTTCCCTGCCATGTGCAGAGCTGGGACCCAGTGCATATTGGAGCCCAGCCAGGGAACCCCAGAATCTAGAAGGTGAGGGTGAACAGTGGCTTCCTGAGGAGCAGCTCTCATGGAAGGAAAACCTACCTTTCCCTGGCCACAGTTGCATGGACATGGCTTTGAAATCGGTGCCTACAAGAGCCTGAGGCAAGCCTCCCCACCCCCTGTCCAGAAGGGCAGGCCAGAGCCCCTGCCCCTACCTGGGGCTGGGGGGAGAGGAGGCTGAGCCTGTATGGGGCATGGCTGAGCCAGTCCTTCCCCTTCCGTGGCATCCTGTGGCCCCTCCCTACACACACACACCCCCATGGGAGCCTATGTGGCCCTCTGCCCCAGCCAGCTCTCCCCCTCCCCAGACCTGTGCTCTCTGGAGTGAACCTGCCATCAGGTAGACCTGATGTCTGTGTCAGGCACCAGCTGTGATCTCAGGCAGGTAACCTCACCTTGCTGAACCTCAGTGTTCCCATCTGTAATGTGGGGAGACGAGGGGTGTTGGCAGGGCTGAGTTTGGGGCCCTCTCATTGGTGTTGCCCCTGTGGTGGGATGAGCCCCTGCCCTCAGACTCTGTCCTGGGGATCCCCCTCAGGGCACCCCACCGTCACTAGTCTCGACGCCCCTTAATAGCTTTGACCCCCTGGCTTTGGTCACTAGTAAACAGTGCTGAGGCCCCGACCCCTCCAGACGCCAGCCCCCAGCCCCCTCAGCTGTGGCTGCCCACGGTGGGGGCTTCTCATGGCTCAAAGGCCTCATTCAGGCACTATGCAGCAGCTGGGGCAATTTGGAGAAGAAAATAAACATTTCCTTCCAGTGTTGGGACTGGCTGCTCCTCAGCCGACCAGCTCGGGTTTCCCGGGGCTACTGGGCTGGGGGAATGGGGGCCGTACCCACAGGGGTGCTGAGGGCAGATACTTCCCCCTCCCCACCCCAGCCTGGCAGCAAGGCAGGAGAGGACATTGGCAGTCCGGGTGAGCCCAGCTCAGAGCCCACAGCCCATGGGAACTCCAGGGGCCACACACACCAGGCCCGGGTCCACTTTGCACAACCCTGAGCTTCCTGAGCCCTGTGTTTCCTGGGCTGCAGGCCTACTGTTGTGTTCTGGGTTCCTTGCTTGGGTTTCCTTTGTTTGGAGAATGGCACTCCCATGGCGTGGGCGGCACTCACTTCCTCGGTTCTGAGTGGGTGTATCAGCCTCATGCTTGGCTCAGCTCGGGGAGCCAGCCCCTGCCCCCAAGGCCTTCTGCCCTGTCATACTGAGATGACAGTGGGGAGCCAAGCACCTCTCTGATCTCTTGCACTCCAGGGCAGCATGGAACGGCCAGGGGCACTGTTACAGAGAATACTAGATGTTCCAGAAGGCCCCGGTCATCTGGCCCCTTGACCCTACATCCACCCACCTGTAGCCTGGGAGCATTGCTCTGTTCTGATTCACGGTCGGGACCAGACCCAGAGCCCACTGCTAAGGCAACACCCCCAGTGGAGTCAGGAAGAGCCCAAAGCCCTGAGAAGTTACAGGTGTCACCTGAGGCCCCACAGCACCTTGGGCAGAGCTGGGGAAACTAGAGGCCTGAGGGTCCCTGCAGCTCGCTGCCCCCAGCCAAGCCATGGTCAGAGCAGGCGGCGCCCACCAGGAGCTGCCCACGCGACAGGGATGGTCTCCCTCTGCGTCCTGCTCTGTGGGGGCAGCACGAGGGATGGGGACCAGACGAACTTGCCCTCAGGACCTCTGCTGAGGGTTCCTCCACCTCTCTGCTGCTGCCCAGAGTCACCCCTCGGCCAGGCCACAAGGCAGGAGGGTCAGGGACTCCTCCTCGCAGGGCCCTGCGTGGGGAAGTTCTCCTGAGTGCCCGGAGCAAGAGGTGTCCCAGACGGTGCACAGGGCAAACCTTCAGTGGCCTCTGTTGTGTGCGGGTCTAAGCACTTTCCATGTAGTAACTCGCTTAATCCCTAGCACTGTCACTGCCTGTATTTTTCATGTGGGAAGACTGAGGCACAGAGCAGCTTAAGTGACTTGCCCAGTAAGTATCAGACCCAAGACAAATGCTGGACTGGGCTGCCTCAGAGACGGGACAGCAACCTATCAGGCACATGTCAGGGCTCAGAACAGGAGCCCTGGGATTTTGTGCCAGGTCCAGTGTGCCGTGTAACCCTGAGGCAAGTGCCTCACCCTCTCTGGGCCTGAGTTTTCCTGCCGAAGGGGTTAGACTCAATCCTAAAGCCCCTTTGAATGCTGAGGTTTGGGGGCGGGGGGGTTCTGCAACTGCAAGAGTAGGGGGCAGAAGCAGAGAGACCCTTGTCTGGGAGTCCAGAGAGGAGCCATACCTGCGGACGGTAGGGCAGGACTGGGGCTGAACACTGGGTCCCTCCGTGTGAAGGCAGGCTCCGGGCCACCAGGCCCCTCTGGCTACCATCTCACTCTGTTGCTGAGGCAAGCGAAGGTGGCGTCTCTTCTCTGTCGGGCCACCAGTCGGCCCCAGTCTACAGGACAGACCTGGAGGCCCAGGCCCGGGGCGAGGCTCAGGCCCGGGGTGAGGGAAGCTGCCTGAGCCCCGCCCGGACAGGGGAGGTGCGTGCACCCAGCAGCAGGGAGTGGAAAGCAGAGGCCCCACGATGAGCTCCAGTCCTTCCTGGGCAACATTAGGAAAAACCATTCCTTCTCTCTGGGCCTCAGTTGCCTTATCTGTAAAAGCAAGCTGCAGCTCCCGAGCTCAGAGCACCATTGGAGACTGTCTTCATAACCCGAGGTCTTACCAGCTATTAATGGGGAGGGAGGAAGGCGGAAGTGGCTCTTCACACCCCCAGCAGCCCCGGTGGGGCACCCACCTTCATGCCCTAGACAGCCTCTGAGCTGCTGGGCTGTAAAGAGGACTCCACGAGGAGAAAGAAAAGTCCTCCCCCTTCTCCACCTGTCCGGGGAGATCCCCATGGCCACCCACGGCCCAGGTACCTGCTCCCACCTGCCTCCCATGTGGGGCCGGATTCCGGGTCAGGCAGGTTCCAGCGCACCAGCAGCCCAGGGCGGGAAGAGCCGAGGCAGATGTAGAAGCAGGGAGTCCCGCAAATGGCCTGTGAACCAGAGCCCTGAGGTCAGTCCCCCCCCCCCCCCACTTAAGATTTCCTTATTTATGTGAGAGAGAGAAAGAAGCACATGTGCTCAGCGCAGGGGGCAGCGAGAGGGTCTGAAGCAGATTCCCCGCTGAACTCGGAGCCCCGCGCAGGGCTCAATCTCACAGCCCTGAGATCACAACCTGCGCCGAAACGGAGTCAGGCACCCCACCAGCAGGACCACCCAGGCGCCCCTCCACAGGTCATTTCGTTGAGAGGCCCTCCTGGGGTGCTGCCAGGCCATGACGGACTGTCCCCCTTCTTGTCCCCCAGGCACCTCGGACTTGAACCCGTTCTCCGACCCCCGCCAGTTTGACCGCTCCTTCCCAGCGCTGCAGACGTTCACAGAGAGCCGCTTCCCCGACCCCAGGATGCATTACCCCGGGGCCATGCCGGCCGCCTTCCCCTACAGCGCCACGCCCTCGGGCAGCCTCAGCGTGGCCAGCATGCCCGCCACCGGCCGCTTCCACCACACCTACCTCCCGCCGCCCTACCCGGGGGCCCCGCAGAACCAGAGCGGGCCTTTCCAGGCCAACCCATCCCCCTACCACCTGTACTACGGCGCATCCTCCGGCTCCTACCAGTTCTCCATGGTGGCGGGCAGCAGCAGCAGCGGGGGCGAGCGCTCCCCGACCCGCATGCTGGCCTCCTGCACCAGCAGCGCCTCTGTCGCCACGGGCAACCTCATGAACCCCAGCCTGGCCGGCCAGAGCGACAGTGTGGAGGCGGACGGCAGCCACAGCAACTCCCCTACCGCCCTGAGCACGCCGGGCCGCATGGACGAGGCCGTGTGGCGGCCCTACTGACCCCCCCGGGGTCCAAGCAGACAGCTCCCGGCGGAGGCAGGGACCCCACGAACCTTCCGGACAAGTGGCTGGCCCGGCTCCGAAGCTCCGGGCAGGAGTGGGACTTACGCTCAGGCCAGTCCATGGGCCCAGAGGCCACAAGGCCTGGGGCCTAGAGCTGGTGGGCGGCTCTGAGAGCATCCAGTCCAGCCACGTCATTGTACAGATAGGTAGGGACCTCCCTCAGGACGCTGCCCCTAGCCCAGACCCTCGTCATCTCATCCCACGTTCCTGTGGGAAAGGTTATCCTCCTGCTGCGCCCCCGGAATGACCTGGCTGTCCCCAGCCATGCCCGGTGCTATCACAGGGCCCAGGTCCCCTGGGGCAGAGACCATCTCTGTTCCAGAGAGAGGTGGCTTTTGCCCACACGGCTTGGCCTCTGACCCACGGGGCCCTGGAAAGACCTCCCCCACCCGCTCCCCTTCCTCAGAGACCCTGTACCCATGGGCCCAGCCCTTCCTTAGCATTTATGCAAATTGAATCAGAACTGGAAGGTCTCTCCACCCCTGAAAGGGTTTCCCTTCATTGTATAGATGGGGACAGGGTCCATCCAAGGGCTCCTGGAAGTCAACTGGCAGAGATGGGTTGAGAACACCCTCAAGCCAGTCTCCCCCCGCCCCGCCCCCGCTCCCAACCCGCTGCCCCGCTACCTACCCCCCGCCCCCACCAGCTCTGCTTCCCTAGAGTTCCTAACAGCCGAAAACTCCCACCCTGTCCCAGCTGTCTGCCGGTCCCAGGCCCCAGAGGAGACTAGCCAATGGGAGCAGGTCCCTAAAACCAGGAAAAACACCTGCAGACAGGTCCTCCGTGCACTTTACCAGCCCAAGGCGTTTGCCCTCTGTTCTCTTGGTGGAGGGCCAAAGATCCCCCCCCACCCTTGCCCCCAGGCTGGTCTCAGAATTACCATTTGTGGAAAGAGCGTGGGTCCCAGAGAGGTCCTAGCAGAAGACATTGGTGAGAGGTCACGGGGTCAGATTTCAGCATCCCTGTCCCACCTTGGTCCCGCCAAGCTGTGCACACTCCCAAACCCCAGCCTTGTGGGCCAGCCCGGCCAGATCTTCTAGCCTCTGACAGCGTTCTATCTTGAACCGGTCTGGGCTCCAAAAGCAGGCTTGAACAAAAACCAGTTTTTAAAGCTGATTTTAGAATAAGAAACATCAAATATTTTCAAACCCACGGTCTCTTAGAGGTAAAGCCCTGCCGTAGCGAACAGCATCCTGTCTGCCTTCTGGGAGTGGCATTGTCAGGCCCTCCGGCATCCCACCTACTCCCACCCAAGGGCCCACGGTTGGTGGGGACCCAAGGGAACCCCAGGTGACACTAGAACTCACATCTGCGGCTCTCAGATATCCATCCAAGAGGAAGTAGAGAGGTGGGGTGCCGGGGTGCTGGGCAGAAGGGCCGGCCAGCACCTCAGCACGGCACACCCCCTGGCCTCAGGGAGGAAAGTGTTGCCCCTTTAATTTGCAGACAGGAAAGCAGGACTTGCCCAGGCCTTCAGGCTACACAGATACTCGAGTCTTGAGTTTAGTTCAAAAAAGGCACAAGTCGAAAAGGACAAGAAAACCTGTCAGGGCTAGACAGCGTGTCGCGTGTGGTTTTCAGTCATTGTTTCAGCCACATCCTCTGTGGATATGACAACCTTCCCTCCTCCATTGTCATCTCTGTGAGAGCTCTCTGCCAGCCACGCCATATCCCACCCCCGCCCCCAACCTGTAACAGAGGGCAGGTGATGTGCGCGGCTATGCACTCTGGCGAGTTAGGAAGTCCTGGTGGTCTCACACCCCGCCCACTGCAGTTTCTCTGGGCCTGTCCTCACTGGAAAAAAACAGTCTCCATCTCAAGATAGCTGCTGGGGTGTCCTGCTGACTCCCCGCACCCAGGGGGGCTCCCCACCCCTTCTCAGGAAGCAGCTGCAAATCCATTGCCCTGGCCCCCCACCCCCCCGCCGCCATGCCTCTTCTCCGTGGTTGCAGACTGGCCCCAGGCCTGCATGGGAGGTGCCCTGGGGTTCCCAGTGCCCAGCACTTTGTAGCCCCACTCCAGATTACTAGCCCTTCCTGAGAGCCAAGCCCTGGTAGGGGCAGAGACAGGAAATAAATGGATCCCTCCTCCCACGTGCCCGCCCCCCCCAACTAAAAGTGATGACAGCCATGCCGAGTCTGGTTTTAAGGCCCATAGTGGGTGCAGACAGCTCGGGCTGCTAGAAATGGGTCCTTATTTACAAGGCTGCTTTAAAGTTGTCTTAGGCGAACACACTGATTTAGAAAGCACAAGGAAATGGAGGAGTTTTGATAACCATATTACTGTAAACTTGGTGGTGGCGGGTACAGACCCTTGGTGACATATTGTCATGTCGAGGTGTTAACACCTGCCACATGCACATCTTCGGTAAAACCGTCCCAGAGCTGGGGGGGGGGGGGGGGGGGTGGGAACTGCTTTGCACTATAATTTGCTTACGGTGTTTGTTTTTGATGCACAACTTGCTGTATGGTAAACTGTCCGTCCTCTGTACTATTTAACTGTAAAATGGAATTTTGACTGATTTGTTACAATAATATAACTCTGAGATGTGTTGAAGGATCCCAATGCCAGACTTCAGAGCTGTGTGGGGGGTGGGAGGGGCAGGGAGACCTCCCACCGTGGCCAAGGACAGGGCAGCCTCTGGGGACAGGAATCGGACTAAACCCACTGCTTAGGAGACCTCCAGCACCCCGGCCTCCCTGCATCCAGCTCCATCAGTGATGCCCACGGAGACCGCTCCGACCGCTCCGGGCAAGCGAGGCCCCCTCCTGGTGTGGCCAAAACGGAGGAACATCAAACAGGTCTTCAGGGTGCCACTGCCCCTTGCAAGTGGCCTGTGACTATTCATAAGTAGACCGGAGGAGCAGGGTACCCCATGTTTCGAACAGGTCTTCAGGGTGCCACTACCCCTTGCAAGTGGCCTGTGACTATTCATAAGTAGACCGGAGGAGCAGTGTACCCCATGTTTTTCCCCCAGCTCGAAGGGCGGCAGGGGCAGAGGCGGGTGGAGGGTGTGCAGCCTAGGGGCCCCCTCTGGGGCCTGTGTTCACTGGAACAGGGACAGTTTAGCAGCGGTCTGAACTACAAAGCAGGCAGCTCTGTCAACTCCCCCAGTTTGCAGATGAGACAGTTAAGGTGCAAAGAGGGGGGTGTCACCTGGCTTCACATCTCCCCAGAGTTGTTTGTGGTTGGCGGCAGGCACTGTGTGTGTGACTACATGGGGACCTGCCTGGTCCCTGACACCAAAGAGACCTGCCCTTGCCCCCCCCCGTACCTGTCCAGGTGGGACCCGACGAGGGGAATTTTCATAGAACAGACCTTATTCTCTAATGAGAATACTTCAACACTAATCCCAAGACTTTGCCCCTTTCCGTTAGGTTGGTCTACCTGAAACCCAACACCCAACAGGAAGTTTCCATTTCTTTGGCCTAAAACCTTGATCCAGGCCCCTGCCCCCAAGGCACCCCTTGGGCCCAAGGGACGGCAGGTTGTGTCCCAGCAAGCCCCCAGCCACAGCTGCAGAATTTTTCTGCGAGGGCGCTCCGGGTGGTGTCTGCCAGGGATGAGCACCGCTGGTCCCGAACAGGCCAACACTCTGCTTCCATGAGTGCGTTGAGCTGGGGCCACTTTGTAGGCAATCTTGGACATTAGGAGGGGACCACAGTTCAAGCCCACCCCACCCCACCCCCACCACACTTTGGTGCCACAGCTGATGGGAGAGGAGCTGTGGCTTCTAGAGCCCCTGACTCAAATCTCCATCGCCTTCCCCCAGCAGGCACAGACCAGCACGCCCAGCGCTTCCAAGGGGGAAAACTGAGGCAGGAAGAAGTCCTGGGACTTTGCGGTTCGTTGAGGGGGGTGCAGGGGCGCAGTCCAAGAGCTTGAGGGCTGTGGGGGCAGCGCTGCAGTAACCACAGTGGCCTGCAGGTGGCAGCAGACAGGGAGCCTGCGGGGGTTCCTCAGGGCAGTTGTTGCGGGGACTTCCTAATCTTGGGAGGTTCGTCCTCAGAAGGGCCTGAAAAATGTCTTGGTTGGAAGAATTGGCTTTCCCCGCTTCAGCTGTGCAGCAATGGGTGGTCCCTGGCCTTGTCTGAACTTCCTTTTCTATTCAAATAGTACCTGAGCACACACTGCCGAGCCCCAGTGGGCGTGTGGAATCACAGGTCTGTGATGGCTAAAGGCCCGGTGTACACAGCTTGAAGGAGAGGTTGACAGCCCTAGTTCAGCAAGCCCGAGTCCTGGAGCCCTGGCCAGTTGCCCCCACGTCCCCAGAGCAGCCATCAGGAGCTCAGGACAGGAAGCAGCCCGTTCAGGATGAGGAGGTCACTTTGTCCCAGAGTCTGGGAGCCCCTTGGCCTCCAGAATTCAATTTCGGAGGCTCCAGGAGTTGCTCTGGGCTGAGGAGTGTCTACAGTGTCACCAAACCCCACGCCTGCCCCACAGCCTCTGTGCTGGCCTGGCCACAGGCTGAGCGTGGCAGTGCAGGCTTTTGGACTCCCAGGGGTGGCCTCCTGGGCATGGGGCTGTGCTTGGCACCCCCTGAGAAGGGATGTGGGTCCCAGACAGAGGACTGCCCCCCCCCCCAGCAGGCCTGCAAATGCAGGGCTTCGGGCCATGGGCATGGCTCTGGCTTTTATTCTGAGAGGGACATCCTGGAGGGGGTTTTATGGCCCGAGATAGTGACACGTGCCCGAGGGGAAAATTGTGAGGGTCTTAGAAGACTCCTGGGGGGTCAGCAGGGGGTATCCTGGGGAGGGTCAGGGCTGGACACAGACCCCATAAACACAGGCACCCAGGTCTCCCCCCTCCCCCCAGCATGGCCCAGGGGACAGCTCTCAGCCACACCAGACACCCGCTTGGCCACGTGAGCAGGGAATGGCACCTCAGCAGGTCGGTTCATTTTGGGGTCGTAAATGAAATGAGCTGTCAAACAAATGGGAGTGGGGGCAGCCAGAGTGAAAGAATGAACTGTTCCTTGCGGAAACCCGGAGTGCCCCCATTCCTCCCCCATGAGGGCCGGGGAGTTGGAAGGGGGAGGGGCGCACCCCCCAACATCCGCACCCACACCTGTGTGGTCCAGCAGCTAGAGGAGCCTGGGGGGCCGGATTCCAGGCTTCCTATTTTTAGTTTTGCAGCTAAACTCGTGCTGTTTTATATATTTATATTCACCCGCAGAGAAAGCCTGCCCTGAGGCCGGGCAGGGAGGAAGGCTCCAGGGGAAGGGGAGTGGAGCGGCCCCAGAGCCAGTTTTCTGGAGCCACCCTTCCTTTGTGCCCACACGGGCTGCTGGAAACAGTTGTGGCCTCGCTGGCGTCCTAATGGATGGCAGCTGTCTGGGCCACACCACGCCACTCTGCTCTTTTGGCCTAATGTCTGCAAGGCCTTGGCCAGGGTTGTTCACTCTTTCGCCAAACAGAGCCCCAAGCCCCACCATACCACCAGTTGCCACACAGCAAGAAGAAAAGGCAAATAAGTCACAGCCATGCTCTTGAGGAGCACATAGGGCTGACAGGAGAACAGGTGTGCTAACCCATGGAATACGTGAGTGGATGAGACAAGATGGAAAGATCGGGAAGTTCACCCAGCAGAGATGTGGCAGCTGGGCCTTC